GAGAAGAGTGCTTAGGATACCATGGATAGCCAAGAAGACAAACAAATGTGTTCTTAAACTGATCAGACCTAGGCTCTCCTTGCAAGCAAACATGATCAAGTTGAGACTATTGTACTTTGGCCACATAATGAGAAGGCATGGATAACTAGAAAAAACAATAATTTTAGGAAAGGTAGAGGGTAGAAGAAAGAGAGGAAGACCACAAACCAGATGGATAGACTCAATCAGGGAGGTTATTGGCAAGGGCTTGAGGATCTGGGCAAGGCAATGGAAGATAGGGATTCTTGGAGATGTCTCATCTATAGGGTCGCCATGAGTCAGAACTGACTCGAGGGCAGCTAACAACAACAACAAACACCACTTTAACCATCATGGTTCCATCCTACCAAATCCTGAGACTGGTAGCTTTGTGTGGCACCAGCACACTTTTGCAGAGAAGACTAAAGACATTGTAAAACTATAAATCCCAGGATTCCATTGGATGGAGCTACTGCACTTAATATGGTATCAAACTGCACTGTTTCTACAGTGTAATTATTCTCATTATCATGGTGGATCACAACAAGCATTAAAAGCCTGTCCATGAGTATATTCAGGTTTGAAGAACATTTATTCTTTCCCTTTTCTGTATCCCAAGTTAAGCAACTTTGCATGTGTGCACACATGTGTATACCTCCTACTGAGACTATACAGGTTATCCTGATAAATGAATGTTCTGAAACACAAAATGGTGCCTCTGGGTTCAAGAAAGCCTCCAGTTACATATTTTTTTAAAAAAACAATGAGGCAGAACTTGTAGTCTTCCAGATGTTCATGGTCTGCAGTCTCTGTGATCAGTCACCCTGGCTGTGCCACCTAGGGGTGCAGTCCAACAATATCTGAAAGGCCACCTATTCTCCACTATTGGCTTGTTGTTGTTGCTGCTGCTGCTATATGCCTACTAGTCATTTCTGACTAATGGAGACCCTAAGGTGAACCTATCATGGGAGTTTTCTTGGCAAGATTTGTTCAGTGCCTTCCCCGAGAGTGTGACTTATCCAAGGTCACCCAGTGGGTTTCATGGCCAAGCCAGAAATCGAACCCTGGTCTTCAGACTCATAATCCAACACTCAAACCACTATGCCACACCGGCTCACAATTCAGATGAACTGAAATGTGCTAGTGAAACAATGCCTGAACAAGAGAAAGGAACATTTTAACTTATTCCTGTGGGAATAATCCCATATAGGGTACAGATGGCAGCTTTGGAGACCATGTGGAAGAAGAACTAAAGGGGAAGTCTAGAATGTTCATCTTGAAGGATATGCATCTTAGAATGACTTTAAAATACTCATTTTTAAGCTGCGGAGAAAAACAGGCAACTAGTAAATACCAAATAATGAAGAGAAACAATTTAGATTAGTAATCAAAAACCTTACTAATAAATATGTTTTTAAGGAGTCAGCATAAACTCAGGTGCATCGCTCAATCACAGAAACTGACTTGGTGGCCCTGGGCAAGTCACACCCTCTCAGCTTCTGAGAATGGAATTAGCAAACCCTGTCTGAAGAATCTTGCCAAGAAAACCCCATTATAGGTATGACTTAGGGTCACTATAAGTCGGAAATGACTTGCAGGCACACAACAACAACAACAACAACAGCATGATGTAATACTGTAAACATTACATTTTTCTCCCCTCTGTAACAATTCAAAAATTTGTAGGGGGAAAAAGCTGATTTTATATAGCATGTTTGCTGACTGCTTAATGAAGTATCAAATGGCTTTGTAATTAGGTTGTATCTTGTAAATTAATGATAACTTCCTTATGCGAAAGTTCCTTACTCAGGAATATAAAAGACACCAATCCATGTCTGGGTTCCTTTTTTATTTTAGTTATATATTTATTTTGTCAGAATCAGTCCAACACAAAGGTGAATAATGCATTGATGGTTAAAATATAACCATAGATACAATAGTTTTATGCAGAAAAAGTACAAATAGTGAATTATTTAAAAGTTTTTAAATAGCAGGGTCAATAAGTAAAGGGGAAATTATGAAACAATAACTTAACTAATAAAAAGTAATAAAGATAACACTCTGCATTAAAACAGACCTTCTTTTTTGATCACATGTAAAGGTTGGCTTCCATTTATTCCAGTTATCTATTGCTTAAATGCTTTGAAATGCTGTTAGGCAAAAGGGACTCTCAGTTCTGGAAAAGACTTATTTATGTCAGACAAAGTAGATTCCTTTTGGGGCATTTTAAAGATTCTCAAAAGCACAAGAAAAGTAAGTTAAAACAATATGGACAAAAGAGAAATCATGCAGTTCTACTCTTCCTTCCATTTTGATCTCTCCTTTGTGTGTCTGCTCCAAAGGATTATGATTATGTTGGAGCTTTTTAAAGAAAAGGAAAAAAACCACAGACACTATAACCTAACCTCATTTTGTCCAAATAGGTTTTGTCGCATCTTGCACATTCTCATTAAACAAGGACAGCGTAGCTGGTACTAGATTGCAAAGGGTGATGCCAGGATGTTTTGGCTCAGTTACAACAGCAGACTGTGGCTGTATCCACATGGAGGAAAAGAAATGTTCCTGTCCCATTCTTGCACTCACCTGTTGAGATGATGCACATGGTCAAAACTCATGAAAAATGGATCCAATCCATGCTCCAGGGTAAATCTTCAGAGTAAAAAGAGTCCCCATTTGCTACAAGTCAAGCCAGACACTCCAGAGAATATCCTCAGAATGTGGACTGCATGCCAGTGCAAGGATGAGGGCTGAACATCATTGGGTGGGTGAATTACTGATCTCTTCTTACCCAAAATGTCCAAATCCCTACCAAAGCACTTTCACTTTCAAGATTGTGTGGTTCCTCTGGGACCAATCCTTTTGGACACATGCAAATTGATTGCATAAACATACAGTAACACAATACCATCTGAACAGTGTGCCAACACTCAATAGGATGGCCATTGCCTCCATGACCCATGGGAAAAAAGGGAAAGGGATCTCCTGGAGAATATGCAGACAATGAGTATTGTCCCATTGTGGGCACCAGTTGTGTGGACAACTCGTCCTTCCTGTGAATCTGGAAGCCCTGATGTAAGCCATGTTTTCCTGTCAGTGAGGACATGGCCCAGATCTTGTTTTCTCAGGGCTGGCCCAAGACATTACACTGAATTGTGCTGCCTCAGTCTGTACACAACTAAACATAAACACACCCAAACCATACAAACCTCTGACTGAATCAGTAACAAACCACAAATGTAGGTGTATCATGCAATTAAACTATGTATGACTGTTCATATACACATTCTGTTTAATTTCTGTATATAATCCAGTTGTTTTTTCCCTAAACTTCAATAATTTGTTGATATATATTTATCCAAATGTGTTATATACATTTCTTTATTACATGTGTATATAAACAGCCATTCATAGTTTAATTGCACGATACACCTGCATTTGTGGTTTCTTGCTGCATGAGTCTGAACAATAAAGCAGAAGCAGACTTCCTACCAATTAAAATCTGAATGCCTATCTCCCAAAGATAGGCACAGTTTTTTTTGTTTTTTGACACATGAGTAAGAGAAAACCCATAAGCATCCCATCCCTGTCAGTAAAAAAAAGGAATGAACTACATTATTTCCTGGCTTTACTTGTCATACAGATTCTGCTGCCTGAGGTGGTTGACTCACTCTACCTAATGGAAAGCCTGGCCCTGAAGGTCTCATATAATTTAACATCTACAGAGGTTGCAGATATTGAGTCTTAAAGCAATTTTGTTTAATAATTTAAGGCTGAAGTAAGATTAAAACAAGAAAAAATTAGTGAGAAATCATATATATTGAGCGTTAGTATTGTCAGGCTTGGGAAGTGGGAAGTCAAGTGTACACTGTGTTAGTTATGCTTAGCGAAATTGTTGTTAATGTGTGAATTGTCATGATTTTGTATAAAGGGAGGCACTGAGAGGATTGAGGGGTGGGGAAAATAGTGTAGAATAGTAGGATTTGAGTTATGTTTTTAGTTTATGTTGTTGTGTGTCTTCAAGTAATTTCCGACTTATGGTGAACCTAAGGTGACCCTATCACGGGGCTTTCTTGGTAAGCTTTGTTCAGAAAAAGTTTGCCGTTGCCATCCCCTGAAGTTGAGAGCATTTGACTTGTCCAAGATCACCCAGTAGGTTTCATGGCTGAGTGGGGATTTGAACCCTGGTCTCCAGAGTCATAATCCAATGCTCAAACCACTATGCCATACTGGTTGTCACATTTGTGTTAGAATTACGTGATGTTTGTAATCAAGAGATGTCAAGTTTTGTATATTTCAAAATTCAATGAAATATTGTTGATTTTTTTTTAACATCTACCAGAAACTGCTAGGAAATGGTGGTCAAAGTTATGGCTCTGTTTGATGGGTGTCTGTGGATGCCATGACCTTATGCTTGAGGTTAGTATGCAACTGCCAAATGGGTAGACCTGTTTGCTTTAAACATCTGAGAAGTTAATACTTTAGAGCAGCATTGCTCTTAAGTATGATCAGCCCACAACCCATTGACTGCTGATCCTCACTGATTTTCTAGAGAACTACACAAATAGGATAATATGATACAAATAAGCTACTGGTCTCTGACAATTCTTCCTTGGTGTTTCCCCTTCTGCTAAGGAACATTTTAAATGCCCTAAAGGCACATGATGTCATCTGACCTAGGAAACTAAGTAGGGTCAGTCCTGGTTAATACTTGGATGTGAGATCACCAAGGAATACTGAGTGTTGTAGGCTGCATTTCAGAGGAAGAAACTGAAAAAAAGCACCTCTGAGTATTCCTTGTCTAAGGAAGCCCTGTGAAATTCATAGGGCCACTACAAGTCAACAGATGACTTGAAGGCACACACACACACACACACACACACACACATGGGACATCCACTTGTTTTTTTAATGAGATGTAGGGAAATTTGTGGCTCTCCAGATGTTGCTGGCTTGCAGTTCTCATCAGCCTTAGCCTGCATTGCCAGTGCTGCCGCATCCCAACAACATCTGGTGGATAACAATCTAGCCACCCCTGTACTTCAGGATTGGCAAAATATGGCTTTTTAAGGCAGGGGTTTTCCTCATTAATATACTGGTGATTTTAAAGCATGCGGTTTTTAATACTGTTTTAATTGAATGTATTGTGGTTTCATGGGGATTTTAATGTGGTTTTCCTGACAATTATTTATTTGCTTGAGGCTAAAAAACCCTAAAGGATCAAATATGTTTGAAATAAAAATCATTCAGATGTTCAGATAAAATGTTTTCATAAGTGCCCATGTCAGTGGGCTTCTCATAATATCTGCATATCTACAAAAAATGTCCTCATGTAAAACACTGCCTGCTTACTGTTATGAAGTACTCCACCTATTTTTGCAATAAGCCTTGAACTTGCCACAATGCAACTAGTCTTGATTGTACTGCTCTCCTCTGACTAGGCTTTGGGCTTCTAGAAAAGTGTGCTCTTGTTACCATACCTTTTAAGCAGGAACTATAGTAGCATAAATACCCTAAAGGCACCAGATCATATCGGATCTTGCAAGCTCAGTAGGATCAGGCCTGGTTAGTACTTGGATGAGAGACTGCCAATGAATACCAGGTGTTGTAGGATATATTTCAGAGGAAGGAACAAGAAAATCAAGTTTGAGTAGGTAAAGAAAAGAGAAGCTTGAACAAGAGTTAAATCAGCAAAGTCAAGACATAGTTGGAACTAAAACCAGCATGGCGTAGTAATTTGAGTGTTGGACATTGACTTTGGAGACCAGGGTTCTATTCCCAGCTTGGCCATGAAACCCTCTGGGTGACCTTGGTCATGTCACATGCTCCCAGCCTCAGGGGAAGGCAATGGCAAACCTCTTCTGAACAAACTTTGCCATGAAAACCCTAGCCTTAGGGCCATTATAAGTTGGAACTGGCTTGAAGGCATATAATCACAACCAGAACTATATCAGGACCTTGGACAGAGCCACAGAATTCTCACCTACATCAAGGGCAGCTATTGCTTCAGATGGATGAAAAGGCCTTCCAAGAATTTATAAAAGTTGTCCAGTGTCATCTTAAAGTTAGTATCCAATGCTCGTTTAGAAGATATCTGCAATTTTAAACAGAAATTAT